AAGATCATTAAGGAAATGCCCCACAAAATTTTACATGAGATATAATGTGCACAGGATAAGAGAGTCAGTGTTTGGAATTTAATATAATAATAGTCGGCTTATTTTTATAATTAAAAACACAAGACTAAAAATTTTGCAGTAATACTGCCTCAATTAGTGAAATATGCATAGAGTTTATAAGGTTGTGGTTTAAAAAATAGAGTAATTGGAATTTTATCACATTCCTTTTGTAATTGTCGGTGTGTCATATATTATATATTCTGTAAGAAATTGGCTTTTACTAGTAAAATGTGATTGGTATTACAAGTAATGAACCAAGGACCTTAAGAAAGGCATGCACTATATCTAGAAAACCATCGATCTATAGTAACATTAGAATAAATATGCTAACTGCCATGGTAATATCTAAATCATGGCCTAATCATGAAGCATACACTGTTTAGTACACATTAATCACAAAATTAACCATGCAACCAAAATAGATAAACACTTTCATTGAATGGTTTTTAATTATGTAATGGTGCAATTAAACATATACACACAATTCTACAGTTTCCGCTCTGTAAAACTCATTCAAGTCTTGACATTTGAAGTACACTATTTAGTTGTCTTCAGAAGGTTACAAGTGTGTCTGTAAAGACCTCCTTAACTTTCTGTTGCTGGTAAAATCAATTACTTAGGTAAGCTCAGTCGCTGAACTGGTGGTAGCCACAGTGCATGCACCGAACCACGGAGATCTTGTCTAAAATCTTTAATATTTCCTTTACACTTTAACGATACACTGTACATTTTATAATGAATGGTTTTTTTTTAAATTAAATTTGTAGTCTTGATTTTTTTTAAATATATTTTATGTTTTCTTAAAAAATATTGAAATTAAATAATTATTTGTCTGTGTTGCATTAATAAGAACAATAATAAACAAGCATTTTTAAAGTGCTCTACACAATAAAGTCTCAGAGTGCTTGGCTAATTGACAATAACAAAAATAACTTTATAGTTATAAGTAATTTATTATCTTTCACAATCTTTTTCCTCATCAATTAAGAGACCACAATACCATTCCTATATTCTTGTAAATCACTGATTAGTTTTCTTTTTATTCAATTTAAGGATAAAATATAAACAGGAATAACAATAAATTAAAAGAAATAGTCAAGAAGGAAAAACATTTAAAAAAAACTAGCTACCAATACAATGAGAGCATTCCCAAAATTAGTAACTTGTATGTGTTTGATATATTTTTTGAACAGACTTTTTGGAATTTCACACTCTAAATTAGCAAAATTCAGGTTGTTAACTGCTAACTTATTAGAGCAAAAGAATTTGGTCCTGCATTGCAAATAATGTATGTTCTTTGTCACATTACTTGAAAAGTATCGGAAAATAGAGTATGCCAATGGCGCACATAATAAACTCCCTGGGGGCTGTATTACCATTTATTCAATTATATTTCTGAATGCATTAGCCATTTCACTTAATATGATTCTCTGTAATATTATCATAATCATTAAATTAAGCAAGAAGTTGGCTCTTTTTTTTGGGTCAAGTCAAAAGACATTTAACAAAGAATTTGAATCAGACCGGCCAAAATAGAGGATTATGAAAAGCAACCTGCCACCAATTGGCACTGCCACTGCTTGGAGGTGGGTTGGCACAAACTTTTCTGGGAAGGTGTGCATTCCCTCTCCCATACCCATGCTTCCCTTATACCATGGAATAAAATTATTGTCAGAGCTTTGCAATAGTAGTGTGTGTAGTTTGGAATTATGCATCAAGTTAAAACTGCTAATACAAAATCCATACTGTGGAGACTGGGTGTGCTGTAGTTTTTATAGGCAAAAAGGGACTAGTTAAAGTAGCACATTTCAGGCAATTTGTTGCCATTATGCAGAGCTAGGGGGAAAACGTGGATAAAGTGTCACAGCAATAAATGTTACTTTATTGCTGGAGAATGTTCAAACACAATTTTAGCTTCAATGTCGAGGGACTAAAGGCCGTTTAGCTTGTGAACAAGTTTTGATATCAAAGAATGATCAATATTGTAATGAAATATTAGATTATAGTCACGTAGGAAGATTAATATATTCGCTTAATTGGCATAATAAGCAATGGATTATATCCTAAGGGCTTGGGTCAGAAAGAGAAAAAAAAGATGGATAGGAACAAAGTCATTTGAGGCAATAGAAGTGGAGAGTCCAGAACAGAGGGGAGTGAGGATTAGGTGAAGAAAGATATTTATCTTTGTTGAGTGATGATCTAGATAATGCTTAAATAATGTTTTAATTCCTTTTTATCTTTTTTACCTATATCTTAATAACAAAACATCAACTGCATATAAATGTTCTTTTTATGCGAGTCAAGTGAAAATAATGAATAATAAAAATATAACAAATAATATGAGACACGACCCATTGTCTATATTAGAACACTTCTCATTGGGTAACAAAGTCGTAATTTCTCCTTTTTGTCAAAAAAGTGTCTATAGTGGTAAATTATGGTTTAGGTTTTTTTTAATAAAGTTTTAAAAATTTCTATGTATGTGGAAAATGTAGTTGATTACCAAAGGTTACAATTTTTATTTTGAAGACTGCATGGTCTAGGAAGTGTACATTTTTTTATGGGGCAAGTTTCCAAGGGCGGGTTTTAGGGGCAAGTTGACTACCAAAGAGTGTTGCCAAAGTGCAAGCCAGCGTGTTATTTGATCACAAGTGCGAGACATCACAAGTGTGAGCCAGTGAGCCAGGACGTCACGACAATACATACGAGACGTAACAACTAGTTGTGCAAGGTATCGGCTGAGATTTGTGGAGTACAATTCAAAAAACAACTATAGGTCTAATAATGAATTATTGTGATGTTAAATAGACAATGTTAGCTATCAAGAAGCGACGTTTTTCATTGGGACCTTCATCCCTTCAAGGCTAGGCCTATACCATTCTAGCTTGTCTAGGCCTAGAGTAGGATAAGGCTAGCGCGACATGCGGACATTGGTACGTGTAGGTTAGTTTACAAAAGAAGGAAACTCCGCTTTTCAGTCGTCTTAGGCCCTTGATTTTTGACAAACAATGACCTTTCAGAGGTCAAATTGCTGTCAAGAATATGAATTGGCTGCTTCGCAGCAATTAAATAATAATACTGTAATAGTGTATTAATGTTATGTTATACATACAGTAGTGTAGATTATCTGATGGTATTACAAAATGAACTAATAATACAGGTTAATTTTCCAACTGAAAATCTCTACAAGATTTCTGTGTAATGAGTATTTCCATAAAATATACTGTTTAAAGGAATTAACATAATGTTGTATAAGGAGATAATGACTAGCCATTAATGATGACAACTGCCTCTCTCATCATCTCATCAACCATATGTATAACAGTTCTATATTTTGACTATTGCAATTTGCTCCTGTGAACTTTGAAAGCAAGAGATATACATATAGGGGATCGAAGGATGAATGGAAATGAATGTGTAAGTTTTGATGGCATTACCATGATGATGTTTAAATCATAAAATTTATGGCAACATGGCAACACATGGACAGAACAAATCAACCCTGACTAAGTATACATTCTACTTCAGATTATTGGCTACAGTATAATCATTTCTATATTTAAAAATAACAGGCCCTTTATTTTATTATGAGCAAGTAATAATTCTTATGCTGTTTTTTTTTTTTTTATATTCTTAATTATTTGTATTGAGAAAAATACCCTGTGATATGTATTCTCTTTATTGTTAGATAAGAGTATGCTAATATCATTATCCCCCTGAAGATAAACTGGAAATGGGTATCATCACATACAGTATAAACAGTATGTCAAGAAAGCTCATTAAATCAGATCTTCTAGGAGTAGCTTTCTTCCAACTCGAGATCCCTTTAAATCTTATATAGTTATTATTAATATCACGTTAAAGTGAAAGTAAAGAGAATACAGTGGATAAAATCTTTGGAAAGTCCAATAAGAGATGAATGGCGAATGGATTTGGGCAAGTCAAATGCACTGGCCAAGGCTGTCAATGAGTTACCCACGTATCAACCTACTGTAACCTGTCAACCAGTTGCCTACGTACTGACCTGAACTGTCAAACCGCAGCCCACGCATAAATTCAATAAGCAGCACTGCAGTTAACACATACTAACTTGACGTTATCTAATCTGTGCGTTCAGAATCAATTTTCTTATGTTATAACCAAAGAAATTTAAATATTTTAAACATTTTTAATAAATAACTTTAAATTATTCTGTAAATTTCAAATTTTTTCCTTAAGTTTGCAATAAAGTAATTTTCAAGTGTGGATGCAGAGATGTCTGAAAGGGTGGGGTGGGGTGAGGGCGAAGTAGGGTGTCTGGAAGCATGCCCCACGATATGTTTGTTTTCCAGACACCTGGAAATAACCTTGGAGGCGTTTTGGGCGATCGATAATTTCTTTTTCTTTCTTTTTTTTTTAATTATTTTCCAAAAGGATTTTGTATCTGGGAAGTACAGTACATGTTCACAAAAAATCTGTCCTTCAAATGGAGTAATGTTAAGATTTAAAAGTTTATTGTAAAATGTGTCTTAATATCTCATAAATTTTTCAAATAAAAATAAAGATTGCAAATAGGAAAATAATAATATTATAATGGTCAACTTATAGAGTGCATATTGTGGAGACCTCTCTGCACTTAACATAACGTGAAAGTACAGTAATATCAGATAACCCTACATGCATTCTCCACTATCACGAGTTCTGCACAAAATACACAGTTCATGTCTGTACAAAAATTCACTCACAGAATGTAAAAAAAAAAAAGAATTTTGTCTATTTTCTTCTTGCACCATCATGTAATTATTATAAGTACGAAAAAATCAACTTGGCAAGGTATGATAAATCAATCCAATGCTTGGAAATCTCATCAGCGAAATTAGAGACACGATATATGTGAATATGGTTTTAATGTCAGGATATACTTATCATAGGCTTTAAATTAATATATTTACTGTACTTACCGATTTACCGCTATTTCTCTGCAACTCTTTAGCTTTCTCCTCAAGCCGTTTAGCAATAGACGCCAGTTCTGTGTTTCGTTTCTTTAACTTAACTACTTTCTCCTCTAATGGTTTGTGTAATGTCTCCATTTTCTCATTCTTGATAGTCTGAAATATATTTTTTATATTAAATTCATTAAGTCATAATATATGTTGCAAGCCATGAAGACCCTAAAACACATTACTGTCTCTAATTTTGATAGATCAAGTTGAGTTATGTTTTACTATACATAACACCATCCTACTAGCCCATTTCCTAAAAATTATCTCCATTCCCTAAGCTTCTTATAAAAAGAGACTTAGTTTAGAAAAGCGTCATTCTATCTTATAATTGGCGAGTTACTTGCAGTTGAATGTAAAAGAGATAAGGAGAAAAAAAAGACAAATAATTCTGAAAGCTTTTGAGAAATGTTGGTGCAAAGGAGAATAAGGAAAATTCAGCTTGGCATAAAGAATGATATGTTAGAAAGAAGAAGGGACAGAAAAAAATGAGAAGAAAAGTTGATGAGTGTCCACTTAATAAAGGTTCAACTGCAATTCACTTAGCTGGACTGAGAAAACATGTAGGTCTACTGTTAGGTTACTACTGTATATACCAAGTACATGAAATAGCTAAATTAAATAAATAATGCAGAAAATGCATACAAAAATTTACAAAAAAATATTTACTTTGCACATTTCATTTATTTATTCAATTGAAAAAATAAAATATAAATGGTACAATACAACACAGTGGTGGATCCAGGAATTCAAAAAAAGGGGGGGGGGACTGGGGAGGTACTTTCACAGATGAAGGATCTACCACTTCAGTCCCACCATGGCTGGGGTGGAGGTAAGGAAATTTATGATTATGGCACCTCTAGATGGCCAGAAATTGCACTCTCAGACTTAAAATTTGAATTTTATTTATATCTCCATTTTTAAAAAAGATTTGAATATAATTGGGGGGGGGGGAGAGGGGCAGGCCGCCTGGGCCGCCCTTGAATCCGCCACTGCAACAGGAAGACAAAGGTCACAATTTATCACAATTTTATGAAAACCGAGCACTATATATTTTTACCGTAGCAAACTTTTTCAGTATTTTCAACTCAATTTATTCTCAGTGTTTTCATGGATATCTTATTCAGCTATTTTAATATAAACATTTTTCTCTTTTAATATTAATATTTTACCGTACCAATTATGGAAAGCGATTTATGAATTTTTATGTAGCAATTACAAATTTTATCAGTAAACTCAATGCATACTAAAAATATTCATTCTTACATACAATTCCAAGTTTATATTCTACAAACTTTAACATGTCCACTGCATATACTGTCCCCTTTACTCTGCACTACATAACAAAAAATCACTATTATAGCTAGATTTAGCACCAAAATAAAAATATTTGGCTACATAAATGTACGCATATCTCTCTTTGCCAATGTAAATCATCATGGTAACTAGAGGAAGAATTTTAATTCATCTGACATTTGACCTTTTAATACGTACATTCATAGCTTTTGACATCTGTTACCGACATGTTGCTCTTTTTTGTCACAATATGGACTCCAAACGAAAATATCATTTTGTATACAGGTAATCACAGAAGATAATTAATTAATTTATATGTACATTAAATGAATCCTAACCAAATTTCATACTCAAATTCATTTAACTATCCATTTTATAGAGTTATATTTGTTTATACAGTTAATACTATAAAAATATAAGTCCACAGATCTCTCTGTGGTTTTATTGATCCTGTATCATATTTAGTTGCCAGTCTGATAAGCCATGGATCATATACAAGCTAAACACTGTATGTTAAAACTGGCACTACAATAAGCATGAAAGGTAAAAAAAAGCTAAAATGTCATTTTATTTAGTGCTACACTCATTTATGAAATGTAGTGTTATGTAGGGCATAAAGTGGTCATAGCATCATTATCACTATCCTAATGCTTTCTCTCTCTCTCATTAACAAATACTTTAACACTGTAACAAGATAACACTAAATTATGCTAATGCTGTACCTGGTTCAAACGGTATAAAATGTTACAAGCCCTAAATTCTAGAAAAATATACCAACATCCACATATTATCATCCTCGTCAACATGATCATCATTAAACAACACAACGATTGTTATAATACAGTAATTATCACCACCAGCACTGTAAATTACCATTTTAGACTGGCCATCATCATCATTATTCACCACCACAAACAAAATCATTATCATCACCAACATTAGGCGAGATTTTTTTTTATACTTTGTTTAGTGAACCCACCGCCTGCCAATAATGATGATTTCAAATAAAAATAAATTTTATTTTTGTCCAATTAGCGCGCTCACTGCCATGAAAAAATGGACATTTCAGAAATATAAAAGTTTTTCTTTATTTTTATTACACTATTATCATGATCATTAACATCATCACCACTAATATCATTATTATTATCACCACCACCATCATCATCATCACCATCACTACTATCGCCAAACACCATCATAAACAAGATCATCATCCTCATCAATGTTCATCATCATCATTACCTCCATCATCATCACCTTCATAGTAATTATATATATTTTACAACAGAATTTTGTTCACCAAAAAGGTGTTTCTAATGAGGCTGTGCTAATATAATAAAACAAATTGAATTTTTCTGAGTAGGCTTTTTTCTGGTTTGGTCTAGAATATTCCACAGAGAAACACAGTGATGCAAAACTCTTTCCTCTGGCTTCAAGTATAGATTATTTGTCTATTATCTAGTGTAAAATTTTCTTTCTTAAACTCGACACACACTGTGCCCCATGATAGTCGGCTAACGCATTTCTATGGAAAACAAAATGTCACCAAACAAAAGAACCCACATTTTTGTCCACCTATAACTAACCCCACCCTATATCATGAATCAACAATTTGTTTAAATTGACAAATTAAATCAATTTTAGATGATAAATTTGATTGAGATAAACAGACCTACCTGCACTTTTCTTCTATTAATACTAATTTTAGTTCAAAAATTGATTACTCATCATAGTAACCATTATACCTGTAGCATCACACTATTGTTCTCAAAACAATTTGCCTTTCATTGAAACCACATGGTTTTCATTGTAAACAACAATAGTTAACAAGACAGCATTGATATTATATTTAATCCGTTTAGCCAACCACACAAGTTAAGCTAGATTTCCACTAGACACGATACGACACGACAATGACATATCATCGCGTAGTTTGTATTCTTCAACACTGTGCCATCTGTGTTGTGTCGTTGTCGTGTCGTAATCATGGCTAGTGTAAATGTAGCTTTAATATGTCAGCCAGTAAACATTAAGTATTATAAAATACTTGATAACACATATATTCACTATTGTTAGCATCTATTTTTTTTTTTTTTTTTTACAGTTTACCTCATAATGATGATGAAGGGTGATAAAAAACAGTTTTAAGGACTTTCAAGTGGCAAATGGATAAATATAATAACAGTGCTCAAATCTGTCTCTTATACACATCTAGATGTGTATAAGAGACANNNGGCAAGTCAAGTCATACAGTAGTTTCATATTTATTCAGTCCCATATAATGATAACAATTATTCTATAATAATATAACATCGTGAATTCTACCAAATTGAACTTTTCTATCCCAGCCTTTAGGGCATTGGATTCATAGAATAGACGAATAGCACATGTATTATTGTGCACATTGTCAGCTAATATCAAAGATAACTACTCAACCATATCTAATTACAAATATCATGTCATTTTAACTTACGACTATTAAATTCTTGCCATTTTTTTTGTTTTATTATCCATATGTAGGACTAATATTTCTATGAATAATGGGAAAACATTTTTTGGTTTGAATCAATAATATAATTTATAAACCCAGTTAAATAAAATGAGTTTCTAAGGTGATTATGTGTGCTCTAAAAAATAAATCTTGTTTTTCCTACCATTCATCAATTTGACAATTCAAACAGCCTTTGGATGCCCTTTATAAAGTCTCCGGAAGTCTAACAACAGGTACATAGAAAATGTCTTTATAGAAGCCAAGGGAAATCAAATAAAAACAATGTACAATATATCTTACTTTTTATTTGAAACAGTATACCTTTTATTTCTTTAGACCTGTTAATTGTCTTTTTTGTTTCACCAAATGTGTTATTTTGTGTCTGGAGTATATTCTATCATTACATCACAAAAAAGATTAATGATTTCATTATTGTGTCCATAAAACAAAAGAGAATTCATGTTGGAACTTTTATATTTCCTTTAATATATAACACAGACAGAAATATTAAATTTAGACCAGACAGATGATTATATTTTGCCATGCTATATAAATACCTGTACTGTATGTACAGTATAACCGAATCAATGTTATTGGATTCCATAAGTCAAAATTAATTAAAGGTGTATGTGTAAATTTTAAAATAAACTTTACAACATGCACCAGCATTATCTGCCATCAGAATCTTAGTGTAGAGTAAAGTAAAAACATATAAACAAATATAAATACAGGAATAATTAGTCGCAAATAAGAACATGTTGATATAAATCAAAGCCCTTCAACGAAAAGTTCTTTTTTTAATTATATGAAGAAAGTGTCTTTCGAGCCTGCAACCCCTTGCAATAATAGTGAGTATCAACTACTGGAATATGTAAACCTATAGGTATAAGGCACAGATCCAATCCCCAAGCACTTGCTCTCATACAACTTAAAATTTGCTCTAGTGAAGCTATGGTTAAGCTGTGAAAGCTTATAGGTCGCAACTTGGAAATCATAATAAAAAATATTAAAATGAGGTAGCTGCTAGCACTGCAAACACAATATATACAAACACATGAACAATAATAACAATAGGTGCAAATAGGAACATCATGTTATAATATTAATAAGGCCAAAAAAAAAAAAATACTTGGTTAGCATCCGGGCCCAAAAAAATTTCTCAGTAGGTAGGCGATTTTTGGTTTGTTCTTTTTTTTGTTTTTGTTTTTGATCAGACAATACAAACAACAAAGAATTTGATTTCAAACTGTAGTCAATTACTTTAATTGCAAATACTGTACACGACGGATCAGAACTGTGTGGGTGGATACTGTATAAC